TGTTATGGGTCATGCTCTTCAGGCGCTGATTGACAGATACTGGGGGATAGAACACCCATGTTCTATAATGTACACAAAGTATGTATAATGTATATAAGGTCTATATTAGACATTGTTTAATGTATTTTATGTGAGAAACTGGGCCTCTAAAGCAGCAGTCAGAGCAAGCCAGATAGTACATTTGGGTTTGAGGGTCACGCAGTCTTTGTTGCAGCTACTCAACTTTGCTGTTTAATACAAAGCAACCAAAGACCATCAGAAGTGAAAGAGTGTGGCTGTGTTGTAATAAAACTTCATTTACCAGTGCAGACCAGTTTGGGTCTGCTCGGCTACTCTTTGTTATGACCAACACACAGGCCTTGGGTGAGGGCTCTCCTGCCTGTGGGTCAGGCACTGCTGACTCTTCTCATCTACATTCTAATAATTTCAAGAATTTCTAGAACAAGGAATCCAAAAGAAGTATAAAACTTTTGTGTTCATCATTTGAGTTCCATCCAATTTTCCATAGCCACATAGAATGCTGGTCCTCTTAAGCTCTGTGATCTTGGGCAAGTCATTCAGCACCCTTTGGCTTCAGTTTTCTCACGGTCAGTTTGCTGTCTAGTCCTTTAGAGGATTATTGAGAAAATCAAAATGATGACAATGATGATGATGATGACGACAACAATAATGAAGATGATAACACTTTTCATTTGCAGAGTATTTTATAGCTTTCCACGTAACCCTTAGAAGAATCTTATGAGGTAGCTAGTGTCAGAAGTTTGCTGAAGGATCCCAACTTGTAGTCAGTAGAACTAGCTCTCAAAATCAGATCTCTTTAATTCCAGTCCTGGGCTACTCTTACTCCAACCACATAGGATTTCTATGTAATCTATCAAGTGCTATGTAAAAACAGTGCTTTTTGAAACATTATTTCTATATTATTTCTTCCATTTTGGACTCTCAATGCCTCTGTATTATAATTCTCCTATTATTTAGACTGAATCCAACTAAACATTCTGTCAAATGCACATTAACACATTTGAGTTTTTACTGAACAAACACCATTTATACCTATATCTTGGATAGTGCCAATAGGAAGAAGACACATGCCAACTTTCTTAATTTCTGCCCATATGGGCTTTTTCATTAGGCTGCCAATGAGGAAGTTCATGGCCAACTGAGCAGTGAGTGACATAAACATTAATTCATCTATTATCGTTTGCCTCAAAATGGCTCTCACCTGCACAGGTTCAACATGTACTTGAAGGAGAACATTCAGGAAATTCTTCTGCACTTGATGGGGTTTGGTGATCAGATTTGATGCTGCCTCCTTTGTTCATTATGGCTGTTAACCAAATGGCACAAACTTTGCTATTGCAAATTCCAAGTCAAAGTTCAGTCTCTTGCTGGAATTACAATTTGTCAAACAGCTATTTAAACCAGATTGTTTGAAGATTTAGAAATGGTTTATATTTTGCCTGCCCATCACACCAGCAGACCTTACAAGAATGATGCCCATCACCCTTTAAAAATTTGGTTCTAACTTGTTCAATCTTATATTCCCATGTAACTGCTTTGTTATAGCATTTGCTTTTTCACACATAGATTTGGCAATTTTAATCTCACAAAGCTGTGCTGCCTAACATGGTAGTCATGATCACACATGGATGGTTATTTATGTTTAAGTTAATTAAATTTGAAAAGTCACTTCCTCTAGCCAAATTTGAGGGCTTGAGAGCTACTTGCAGCAAATAGCTCTCCTATACTGAGCAGCACAGATAAGGAAAATTCTATTTTTATAGAATGTTCCATTGGATAGCACTGTATAATGGATTCAGAAACTAATTTTGACAAACTGCATAATCTGTTGCAATTACATCAGAAGACTGCTCTTTTAAACCACTCATATTAAGACAAAGACTGCCAGTAATAACAGGTACCTTTAGTAGACACTTAGCTAAGCTCTTAGTGCATATTGTCTCACTGAATCCTTATGATAAGTTCATATTGGGCTGAGAGTGTGGCTTAGTGGTAGAATGCTTGCCTAGCATGCTTAAGGCCCAGGGTTTAATCCCCAGCACTGAAAAACAAATCATCATCATCATCATCAAGACTTATTTAGAGATGGAGGCCAATGGACACATAGTAAGAGGTAGATTTGAAATTTGAACCCAGGTCTTTCCTGTTCCAGATCTGAAGCTCTTAAACACTCAGCTATGCCACATCCTCCCTCTCCTTCTCCACCACTTACTGGGATGAGGTCCTGGTCAGGTCACGTGGGGATAATGCCAAGGCTGAATGTTATACTATAGGAGATCCTGCCAAGAGGAAGGGCAGAGCTGGGCATGAGTAGGCAGAATGAATTATCTTGGTAGGGGTTAATCCGACCAGTCTAGTTTTATGCCAAAATGAAAGCTGTGTCCTTCATAACAGTCTGCAAAGACTTTGCAAAGCCAAATAACTTTTCACTAGAAATACCCAAATAAGAGTAATCACTAGTGGCTCTGTTAGGATGAGGGAATAAAATTTGACATTCACCAAAATAACTGAACATGTGGGCTTATTATTGTCATTCTCTGTTCATTTTTTTTTTCTTTTTGAAAGCACTCATTTCATTCCACACGTCCAAGTGCCAGCTATAGTGACAGTCTGTGTCTCAGTGTTCCCTGGGCCAGCTCTGGGGGAGAACTGGCTGCAACTACTCGTTTAAAGCAAGCAGTTCATATGGGTTTCAACGCTTAAATTTAGTTTTGCCTTTAATGAAAACAAATATGCAGATTGGATAGCAGAATCGTGTGTCTCCAGGAGACAGCTATAACTTTTCTATAGCTCATTATGAAAACTCTGTGTTTCCCAACAATCATGGCTTTGTTACCACAGTCCTTGTATTCCTCTCATCCCTTTTTCCTTCTTCCTTTCACATGACTCCTTGAAACTTGACTGAGTGTCAAGACTTAACCATGTCTATGGTTACTTTATAAAACAGGCATAGTTCTGCTGGAATAAGTACATTCAACTTAGTGCCAATAAGGCTGAGAGTTTTCCCCAAAATGAATTTTCACAGAAATCATGTTAGGTCTGGATTCAGGGAAATTTTCCTTAGAATCAAAAAGAGCAACACAATCTTCAGGATCTAATTCTGCCTCCTCATACCTCTCTAGAAGTGAAGGCACCAGACAGCAGTTGGGGATCTGCCTGACCTCCTTTGCTCCCAGGTCCATGATTCCCTTGACCCCCAATATGTTATTTCAGATCCAGGTGTTAGACCATTCATTAAGCATCCATTTGGCGTATCAGACACGTTGCGTAATCACCAGTAATGAGTCAGAATACAAGAGCAGACCAATTAAAAAACTTCCATCTATGAGTCATATTTGCAAGTTAGCAATTGTCAAACACCAGCCAAATCCTGTCCATAATCAAGAACAAGAACAACACCAAAAAAATCTATTGACAAGGAAGGCTTTTGACATCAAGATGTCAGAGTTGGGTTGAATTGCATGAGGCAGAATGGAAATTCATCAGATCAACAGACAGAATGAATAACACAAGCTAGAAAACTCAGAAGAGCTAGAACCAAAAGGGCTGGGACAGAAGAGAAGAACACAGCCGAAGCTGAATCTTAAGGTTTCAAGACATGGCCAAATTGTTACTTGACTCAATATCATTGAGTGCTTTGTGACCTTTGAGGAATGTGGGGCTTTGTTTAATTCTTGGTGCATCAAATGGCACCCTGCTTATCGTAGGCAAGCAATAAGTAAATTAGTAAAGTCATTAAAATGAATAAAGTGAAAATTGTCCTTTTGATTATTCTTTCCATCCGTCCTTGGTCACAAGCATCATCTTCTGGGGAAATATCTCCAAGATGATGTTTCATTCACTTACTTGTTCTGGCTCAATGTACGTAAACAAGTGTACCCATCCCTTATACTATGTTTTTACTTTAACATTTTAACAGCATGGTTAAGAGTTAGGATGTTTAAGTCAGACCCGGACCATAATCTGCCATTTAATAGCTGCAAGGGCTTCAGCAAGTTATTTAGACCCTATTTCTTTCCTCATCTGTAAGTAAGGGATTTGAATAGTAAAACAGCTACCTCTTCAAGTGGTTGTAAGCATTACTCCTGTGGAGTGCTTAGCTCAGCACCTAATCACAGTAAACCAGTAGCTCTGAATGTGTGTGTTCCCATATTCCAGCACAGTCATCACTAGTAGTGTATTAGAAATTTGAAGTCTTGATCCCATTCCAGACCTATTGAATCAGAAACGGGGAGCAGGGCCAGAGAAGTCTGTTTCAACAAGATTTCCAGGTGATTCTGATGTAAGCTAAAGTTTTGGAACCAATATAGTAAATGTAAGCTGTAATAATAATAAATAACAGCTAGCATTTCTATTATAATGTGCTGATATTCTTATTACTTTGATAGGGGAACCATCTAGGAGACTATTATTCAGTTGTTTTCCATCTAAGTTCTGGGAAGCTTTAGGGCTCAGAGACATGTATGGGAAACCACCACAAAATGTGGTGGGACAGAACACATAGAAAGTTTTAGGCTGTCTCTCAGCTAGTTCAGTTCTACATTGCTTGCTAGACCAAAAAGTTTTGCTGAGATGAATCTTAAAAACCACTGCTGTGTCCAAAGTGCCAATGGGAATTAGAAATTCCCCTGGGCTTGTCACCATGTAGGATGATGAGCACTGGTCCTGCGTTCCGACCCAAACTCCATAAGCATTCTTTGGGAACTGTGCAGGCACAGAACCTTATGCCATGTCTTTAAAGTCTTTTTTAAAAAAAATAAATATATTTATTTGAGTAATGGCCTTTATTGAGCAATGTCCAGCAGTTCTGCTCCCAGTGGGCTCCGCTCTGGAGCAGCAGCACCCTTCTTTCCCGGGCTGAAGGCAGGGCCAGGCCAGGATGCACCGAGGCCAGCTCTTGCTCTGTGGGAGGGCGTGAGGCTCTGAACGCAGAGCTCCTTGACACCGTCTGGGCTGCGGCACGGGCCTTGCCGGCTCCCTCAGTTGGCTTTGTCCTTGAATATGTACAGGTTGTTGGTGGCGGCCACGGCAATGATGTTGTCCACGGGGTGCCAGGCTGTGTGGAGGATGTTCTTATTGAAGTCCAGGCTGTCCACACTGATCTCATCCTTCTTCCTCTTCCCACCTGCACAAACTTTCCGGGGCTTTAAGCTGGCTCAGGGTTTGCTGCTCTCTTTTGAGGCTTCCAGGGTGACATCCCTGCGCATGCTTCTGTCGAACATCCTGAAGAAGTTGTTGTAGGAGCCCGTCACGACAGCACTGTCGGAACCGTTCCAGCAGCACTCAAACTTGTCGAAGATGCAGTCGTTCTCGTAGAAGGAGCAGAGCTTGCTCCGCAGGTACTCATGTACCTGGTGGGTCTCCACTGGCCTGCTCTCCATGTTGAGGTCCCACACCTTCACTGACAGGTAGTCTCGGGTCATCATGTACCGACCACTATGGCTGAATTTGACGTCGGATATGGATGAGATTATTTCTGAGAAGAAGGACCTACTAACTGAGATCTTCAGGCTCTTCAAAAAACTTAGAGAGTGCCGGTCGCACAGGGCGGAGGAGCGCATGTCACACAGCCGGATGGTCCCTTTGCTGCTGCTGTACATGAACACGTTGCACTGGTGTGGGTGGAACTCGGCAGCGGTGATCACCTCGGTCAGCTCCTCCATGGTGGCAGGTTTGATGTCCACGATATTAAAACTTCTATCTGTGATTTCTAAATGCCACAGGTTAATTCTCAGGTCATCTGCAGAAAGATACGTTTCATGATCACTATTTACTGAAATGTAATTTATATGACATGTATCAGCATTTGCAAAAATTGGTCGTGGGCTTGCTTCTACCATGAGGTCCATGGGCTTCAATATTGGAACCCGCAGTGCTGTGATTCTAAATGGGTCTCGGAGTCGTCCATCTTCATCTTTCAAGTTATAACCTTCTGCTCTTTTATCCCGTTCAGTCTTTAAAGTCTTTACAAGGTCTTGTTTCCCCCTCCTTTCCAGATGAGAAAAATGAGAGTAAAAAGAATTGAGTATCTCGTTCAAGGTCACACAGCTGGTGGTCCTAGGACTACAAGCCAGACTGCCTGATACTGGGTTTGTTGCTGTCCTGCAGGAGTCTCTTCTGGTCATGTGGGGTAACCAACATCACCACGTAGGGAAATCACCTCTGGGATACTGGGCCAACTCTGCTGGGATGCTGGATCCTGCTCTTGACTAACTAGGAGCAGACAGCTAAATTTTGTTTCACCACTTGCTCAGCACTAAAATGACTCATGGTCACGAAGAACTAGAAAGCCCTCAAATTTAGGGGTTCAGAGGGGCTTTTCCATATTTGCTGAATTGGTTGGACCAAGAGGATGATCTTATATTGGATTTGTAGAAGCAATAAGCCAAGAGTTCAAGACTCTGAATGTCAACCCTACAGCCATGTGGCCTTATAACCAGATGTGTTGTGTGGTCTTGGACAAGTCAAGTTTAGCCCTTCAGTTTGGTCAAATGCTTAAGTCAATGGTCATACTTGTTACTTATCATCCAAAATGGACTTTGAAACTGAATTAAATAATTTTGAGAGATCTTTGAGCTCCTGGGAAAGTTGCACCAGGTTTAATAGTTTTGTCATTACTGAAGTATCACTTATTCACTATTAGCCCATTTGACACTCATCACCTGCCAGACCTTGTGCCAGGTATTGAGGCTATAAAGGTGAATAAGACAGGTGTGGTTCCAGCTCGCACAGAGCCTGCAGTATGGTGGGAGTGGGAATCTGTTCCATGCTGACTACACAGGAGTGTTGTTAAGTATTTATTATGTGTTAGGGACAGTGCTAAGTGCTGCACATGCATCAAATCATTTAGTCCCCACAACTGCCCCTTGAGGTAGGAAAAACCATCTCCATATTACTGAAGAGAAAACTAGTGTTTAAGCAATTTTTCAAAGTCAAGGTCACTATTACTAACTGGCAGGATCTATTTGACTTCAAAGTTCTTAGCCTCTATGTTATAGGTGACTGTGTACATAAATACCTACCTATAAAGAATATACAGAATACACACAGGCCTCTAGTGAATTTTTAATAAATATTTATTAAATCACTACATTCACCTAAAGTCAACCTCAAGACAGAAGACAACAGATAAAGAGATGAATGAGAGTTGAGGGAGCTGGAGTGACCCTTCTGAGGAGAGGGGCAGTAGGTAGGGAGCTTCACTCAGTGGCAGCCTGGGAAACAGACCAGAGACAGAGGGAGACCTGAGCCACTGCATCCACTCAGCCCAGAAGCCTGGGCACTGGATCCATCCCAGTCCCAAGCTTTCTAGGAGTGGTGCGGGGGCTGGGAGTAAGATGGGGAGAGAGGACTGACACTTCCCATCTCTCCCAGCTGCAACTACAGAAGTACATTCTGCCATCAGGGGACGGTCCATGTCCACCCAAGGAGCTCGGAAGAAAGTGACAGTAAAAGTGCTGTGCTGGGGCCGTTTGCCCCTGCTGCTCTGACCACCTCCTTCCCCAGAGAGGTAGCATTAAATAAATGGCCTAATTGATGGGGCTGGACTAGAGAGATGGCTTGGCAGTGTCTAGAGTACAAGACTAGTCTGAAAAGTAATGGCCACTGTCATTTGTTGCCTTTATAAACAGGGCACCTTGAACTTCTACCACCATCACCTTGCTACCAGGCTTTAATCACACTCTGGTTTGGAAAAGCATGTTAACTTGAAAGTCCCACTTTTTGGTTGCTCAAACAAGATTACCCAACATCCCTGGCTACAAGAGTCACATTATAAAAACAACATCACTATCATCATCTTTTTGTTCAGGCCCAGCAGAGTACAAACATGGAGGCCCAGGCATGCAGAGAAGGAAGAACCCAAGCACTTGGGGGCCCACAGATCTAAGTTAAACCCTAGGTGTTACTTCCTGTGGTGGCTGGCTCTAGGCAGGCCCCCATGATCCCTCCCTCCTGGTATTCACACCCTGTGGTGTCTCTCCCCTTGAGTGTTGGCTGGGCAGTTAACTTGCTTCTAACCACCAGAACACAGGGACAGTAACGGGGATGTCACTTCCGAGATTATGTTGCAAGACATTGCTTGCAGATACCCTAACTGCCTTCTCTGCTCACAGGCACTGATAAAGTAAATAGAAATAGGCTTAGGGGGCATGTGACTCCAGCCAGCCAACAGTGGAGGCTCTCAGCCCAACAGCCAGAAAGGAACTGAATTCTGTCAACATACACTGAGTACTTTGGAAGAGGATCCTTGCCCAGTGGAGCTTTCAGATGAGACCCCAGCCTGGCTGACATGCTGAGTGCAGCCTCAGTAGAGCCCCAGCTGCTGAGGACTCCGCTGAGACATGCCCAGATTCCTGACGCACAGAAGCTGTGAGATGATCAGTGTGTATTGCTTTCAGTTGCCAAGTCCATGGCAATGTGTCAGGCCACAATAGAATATGAAACACTTTCCATCTTAACTCTATTCTTTTGTCTTTCAGGAGGCAGGGATAAGGTGACAATGATGATATATCTGCCTTTTGACAATTAAGTGGAAACAATGCCCCCCCCCTAAAAAAATGTGTACAAATGTTGAAATCTCCTAAGAGGTCTCAGTTCAACGTGGGCTGGAGCTTGAAGAATGGGGGAGCAGTGGCTGGTTAGGGGTGGACAGGGCTTCTAGGCAGCATAAAGCTTGCACCTAAGGGGGTCCACAGACAGGACACCAAGGGAGGGCCAAGACGGGAACCCCAGAGACCATCAAAAGAGTGAAGCGACACACAGCTGTAGATTGGAGACAGAAAGCAGAGAGCAACGCTAAGAATAAGATGGCGGAGGGGGGGAAGCTTTTAGAAGATACTAATGATGTCAGTGAGTGGGCAGAATCGATTCGGACACTACACTTGTTTAGATTCATGGCAGAAATCCATTCACATTAAGGGCATTGGATCCCGAGTCTTGGGTACCCCCCACCCTTGGCTCCATGTCTCCATCCTATCTCATTGATGAAACCCTTCTCCCATTGTCCATGAGTCCTAGGGGGCTGGTCTTCCATTGTGGCTCTCCAACCTACACTGTCCAAGCTGCAGACATCTCTGTCCTGCTCAGCATCCATGCCCAGTTATCTAGCAGGCATCAAATTCATCATGCCCAGATCTGAACTGATACCTCCTCTAAATTCTGTTCCTACTGCAACCTTCCTCTTGTCAGTTTTGTTCTGACAGCTTTATAAAGACTGGGGGTGACAGAACATAAGAATAACCTTGCAATACATATTGGAAAAGATGCAAAAACCACACATTTAATTATAGAGTGAAAAGCAGAAGTCTCCCTGCTCCCTCCTGCTGCCCACGGCCCTCCCACCATCTCTCCCTTCCTTCTTCTCTTTCTTTTCTTCCTTTTTTTTCTTCTTCTTAGATATTAAAAACAACACTCCATATCTATAAGATGCCATTATTTCTTCAGGATAGCTTCTTAGAAGCAGGACTGTGAAGCCAAAGGGCTTGCATATCTAAGTGCATTTAATGTGCATACAATTTCCAATCCAACCAATTTCCAGTCCCAGCAATAGTGTATGACGGTGCCTCTGTTCCACTACTGCACAGTATCAATCTTTTTCAATTTCCTAAGGATGAAGTCTTGTTTTAATTTGCAGTTCCCTGATGGCTAGAGCTTGAGCGCATTTTCATATATTTATTGGCCATTCACATTTTTTTTTTTGTTCTATGAATTGCCTCTCTGTATCCATAGTTCATTTTTCTATTGGGTTATTTATCTCAAATTACTAGTGGAAAATCTGATGCCGGGGAAAATTTGCTAGCATGGAATCCCACAACTAGTAAGGGCTAAGCTGAGACTGGAGTGTGTGCAGACCCCAATCACCAGGTGGGTTGTTCTGCTTTCTCAGGGTTAACTACTAAATGAAAATCTGTAGGCTGCAAAAGGAAACTAGTATTACTGTTCTGCAGAGGTGGAGCCCTTTCTGGTTTTTTTTTTTTTTTTTTGAGAAAAAGGAAAAAGAAGGTTTATTGTTTTGCCAGCAAAGGAAAAACACAGGGGACCCCTGTCCCACAGGCTGTGATTCTGCCCATCAGCAGGAACAGGGGCTTTCAGAGGCGACTCCAATGCTACACTTTACTTGTTCTCTGTTGGAGTTGAATTCACTTGTTAATGTGGGAGACAGTCATTTCTGAGACCTTCTGGTACCATCCCCAAAGTCTTGATGACTTCCTGCCTATGGAGGGTGTGTGCTCAGGGACAGACGAGTCTGCCTAGGATGGGAAGAAAGGTGAGCCTGTTTCCCTGAGATTAGGGAGGGGGAGAGCTCAGGGAGGAGCAGGAAAAGAGGAGGAGAAAGAAACATGTCCCTTTAAAAACTGAGCTGCAGTGGCAGAGCAGCCAGGGTGGTGTCCCACACAGTCTCACTTCTGAGTGGTGAGTGTTCTGTGAAGTGCAAGTCCTTTGTATAAGCGGCAATTTGCAAATATTTTCTCCCAAATTTCACTTCCTTAATGAAGTCATCGAGCATGGAACTGTCAATGTGATGGGTTCAGTCCCTTTCCTTCATGGACCCTACCTCGGTGTTTGTCTAAGGGACTTTGCCAGCACAGTCATGGAGATTTCCCATTTTCCTTTGAGTTCATGGTTCCAGGTCTTCAAGTTTCATTTGAGCTCATTTTTGAGATGAGCATGAGGCGAGGGTCTTTACCATGTTTGACACATGGTCACCTGGTCACGACAGTGTCATTTGGGACAGACAGCCCTTTTCCCCATGGGAATCCTTGGCACCATCGTTATGTTAACTGACCAGTCCAGAAGGGCCTACCTGGGTTCCATGGTCTGGACGTTGATCGCTCACTTTATTACTATAGTTTTGTAGCAAATTTTCAAATTCAAAATTTTTAGTTCTCCAACTTCATTCCTTTTTGAAATTGTTTGGCTATTGTGAATCCTTGCACTTTTTATATAAATTTTATGATCAGATTGATAATT